GCTAGAATTTATTAGGTACAGAGTATTCATGTGGAAAGATTTTAAAAGTGCTGAAGGTGGATGGAAAGTAATGGTCGTACATGAACATGAATGTAAGTAGTACCAGCAAACTGTACGTTTGTTTGTTTGTTTGTTTGGAACCAGGGATCGAACTTGGGAGCTTGCACTTGTGAAGCAGGCAGCAGAACCATTGAGCTAAATCCCCAGTCCTATAGCAAACTGTACATTTAAAAATGGTTAAAATGGTAAATATTATGTATGTTTTACCATAATTATTATAAATAAGCAAGTCAGAACTATAGAGATTTGCCACACTGAGTCAGATTTGAGTCCATTTATTTAAAGCTGGCATCTGACAGGGCACTAGTCCCAAGAAAGTTCTCTCAGCACTGAGAAGCAGTTTGATTTCTTCTTTTAAATCATGCATGTGGCTGGGGAGGGCTCAAGGGGAGAACAAGTAGAATTTTACAGAAGCAGAACCATGCCAGGTTGGGGGGGCGCAAAAGAAAGTCTCACACACTAGGTGAGCTACACAACATCCTGCAGTTACAGCAAGTTTTCTGCCAAACAGGATGTGAGTTTTGGGTGCTTTGCCCAAGCACAAGCACACAGTGGTGGTAAGGCTCAAGATGGAGTTGGGTTGTCTATCACATTCCCAACTCCTCTAAGCATGATATCAAAGCATTGACTCGATGAGAGCCTCTCGAGTGGGCAAGGGATTATACAAGAGATCATAGTAGGATCTCATATATACCAGTTTAACAGAGGCTAGGTGATGTTTTACAAAGTTCATTATCCAATTAAGAATATAGGGGCCAGCCAGGGATTTAGCTCAGTGGTTCTGCTGCCTGCCTTGCAAGCATGAGGACCCAAGTTCAATTTCCAGTACCAAAAAAAAAAAAAAAAAAAAGTTTTGGGGCTGGGGATTTAGCTCAGTGGTTCTGCTGCCTGCCTTGCAAGCATGAGGACCCAAGTTCAATTTCCAGTCCCAAAAAAAAAAAAAAAAAAGTTTTGGGGCTGGGGATTTAGCTCAGTGGTTCCACTGCCTGCCTTGCAAGTGCAAGGTCCTGAGTTCAATCTCCAGTACAAAAAAGGGGGGGTGGGCAATTAAGAGCATGAGAAAAGAGGGGACAAACCACTCTGGTGCTGAGTGTAGTTACCCAAGGGCTCCAACTGAACAGGTTATGATACCACGAGTTTTTACTTTCCCTCTCCTTCTGACGTCTATCCAGACTTTCCTTGACCTTTTGAAGAGTATCTTGGATTACACCAGACTTGTTGACATAGAAACACATGCCTCCCCTAGAGCAGCACATAATCCCCCTGTGACAAGAGCACTAGATCAAGGCCCCTGTGATTTTTGAGGACCATCTCAGCTAGTGACTCTGCTTGGGAGTGAAGAGTCTCAAAGGTTTATTGGGTTTCCTAGGTCACTGTCTACCTGTTCTGATAGAGCTGACAGTCCAAGTTCTCCTCTAGCCAATACAGCAGTTCCAAGTGCCACTGAACTAGCTACCCACAACCCTAGCAAAATTGGAATGACTATGGGGGTTACTTGCTTCTGTCTGTATGGTAGTTCTGGGGGTGCTATGATAGCCCATCCCTGAAATCCTCCATGCACATATACTTGAGGGAGAACTTGGGCTAGGGTGCACAAGACCTCAGGTCTAGCAGTAACTCTTTCAGGAGTTTTAATACACCTAGTGAGTCCTGAGGTACCAGATAGTCAAATGCTGTTAGGGGCAAAATAAGCCTTCAAGGTTTCCAGAGTCAAGGTTTGGCTACATACAGCTTGGGAAGGGGACATACTCATAAGAAGTTGCCAGACAAGTTGCATTCCCATAAACTTCACCAATTGTCAAGGGGGGATTTGTAGAGGTGCATGCTAAGGCAGTACTTAAGTTTTTTATTAGGTCCAAGGCTACCACAGCCACATAACAAAGAAGCTTTGCTTTTAGACAGGGCCAAACAGTCCTGAGCCAGGTCTGGTTGAGTCAAGTTTAACATAGTGTGGATAGCTCCCAGAATGGAGGGAGGCAGTATGTGTGAGGGGTCTGCTCTATTGGTAGCAAAGAGCAGAAACTTTGAGGGAGGGTTAACAGGGCAAGGCTCAAGCAAGGGGTTCTTTATTTTCATTAGGGGTCCTATTGGCTGTCTTGGTGCCCAGCTTAGCAACCAGTTCTGAAAAGTAATGATTGCCCCAGGGTCAGGAATTAGTCATCTGGGGAGCCAGAAGCAGAAGCCCCAATTCCGTCTTGTGGCCCATTTAGAATCCCTGGGCCTTTGTATCATAATTGTGACTCGGTACCCGTGTTTCCAAACTATGATACATTAATGGCATTTGGTCTCCCACTATAGGAAGGTGATCTTTACATAGCCCCAGTTAAGACTTTATAAATCAGTTGGGGACCCACAACCCTGCTGTCCAAACAGATTGAATTCTGGGCATGCATAAAAATCACGGCTTCCCAGGTTTATAAACTGATAGTAGTAGCCTCTCTGATCTCTCCTAACCAATTTACAGAGGTCAACCTTGGGCAACCTAAGAGGTTGCTGGGGGCAAATGGTACCAAAAGTAACACTACCTAGAATTTCTACCAAGCTAAAGGAGGTGAGGAGAAAGGAGCACAGCTCTCCTCATTACATTTCTCCAGAACTTGGTTCCATCATCCCCAAAACAATAAGGACAAGCATCACAATCATGATTGGACTAGCCTTAGTTTTAAAGGACCTAGTTCAGCAGTCCACGGTTTCACCCACTTGATGAGAGAATGGTGAATCTGCATTGAGATTCTGTCAACCTTGAAAGCTGAGGGCATTGTGAGGATGACTGTGTACAGTCACTTCCAGGCTGGAGTGGCTCTTTCATTCTGAGAAGCCTTATGAAGACAGTATCCCCAGGCTGGATTGGGTGGCATGGTATAGAGCTGGGCAGGGGCTGAGTAGACTGTACCTGAGAGTCAACAGTTTTCTGTACCTGTTGGAGAGACTGGAGGTACTTTAAAAGGGATTGGTTGGAAAATTTTTCTAGTACCTCACTTTTACTTTGGGGAGCAGGGGAGGGGAGTCTCCAAACATAATTTCATAAGGACTGAAACCTGTTTTATAAGGGGTGCACCTTACTCAAATGATAGCCAGGGGCAGCAGGGTGATCCACCCTTCACTAGTTTCCAAAGTCAATTTGATTAGAGTAGATTTTAGGGTCTGATTCATCCATTCCCTTTGCCCTGTACTTTGGGGTCAGTAGGCACAGTGGAGTTTCCAATTTTATACCCAGTGCCCTACTGACTGAGTTATAGAGGCTACAGATGTGGGGCCATTGTCAAATCCAGTGGATACTGGTGGTCCAAATCTGGGAATTGATTTCTGAAGAAGCTTCTTTGCCACAACAGTGGCAGTCTCCTGCCAAGTAGCGTAGACCCCTGCCCAACCTGAGAAGGTATCTATGAAAACCAGGAGGTAGCGATAGCCATCCACTGGTGGTTTGTTCTCTGTGAAGTCCATTTCCCAGTGTTCTCCATTCCAACCCTGGAATTTGAACCCAAGGGGTGCAGATGGGCTCTGGTGGGGATTTACTTGTAAACAGTTTGGGTGCCTAAGAGAGGTGAGCCAGTTCCTGCAACTTTGAGAAGCAGTATCTTGGAGCTAGAAGCTCAGCCATCTTGGAGCCCCTCAGTGCATGACCAAGTGCAGCCACTGGATGAGCTGTTGTCCTAATGCCTGGGGGAAGTAGATGGGACCATCTGGACATTTCCACCAGCCTTGGGGATCTTTCTTTGCTTGCAGCCACCTTGCTTCTTTATCTTCCTCTGTATTGTAAGTGGGGCTAGTCGGGAGCAAAGGGGGAGGAGGACTCATGGTAGGCAGGATGATCAAGGGTGCAGTTGGCCTCAGGACTGCCTTTCTGGCTGCATGATCTGCAAACTGATTTCCTTTAGCCTCAGGTCTGTTGTCCTTTTGGTGACCCCAAACATGAATGATGGCTACCTTCTTGGGAAGCTATACCACCTCTAAGAGAGACAATATCTTCTCTTTAGGGGAGCTACTAACAAATGGATGTCAAATGAAGTAAGAGGGCAGTCTTGACAGTCTTTCCTATGGCTGTCAGGAGCCCTCTTTCCTTGTAAATGCTCACGTGGACATGTAGAGTAGCAAGGCATACCTATTGTCAGTGTACACATTTATCTTCTTTTCCTTTCCCCATCTCAAGGCCTGGGCTAAGGCAATCAGTTCTGCCTTTTGGGCCACGGTCCATTTGGGCGGAGGATGGGTTTAAATGACTTGATCAGCTGTAGTCACTGCAGCCCCCACCCTTTGTACCCTGCTTACCACCATACTACTTCCATCTATGAAGAGTATGGCATCCACCTCAGCCAAGGGGTGTTTGTTAAGTCCAATCAGCACCCCCTGGGTCTGGTCTAGCACCTCCTCACAGTTGTGAATTGGGATGTCAGTTATCATCCAGCATCACTGTAGCCAGATTGAGAACCCACACTGCTGAGAAGTCTGTGCGAGGCTGGCTGAACAAGAGGCTTTGATGATTGAGGTGGGCATTTGACATCCATTTGTTAGTAGCTCCCCTAGGAAGAGTCTCTACTGAATGAGGGGCAGTTAGGACTAGGTCCTGTCTGAGGGTCAACTTATCAGCCTCCTTGACCAATAAATCTGTGGCAGCTACTGCCCAAAGACATGAAGGCCATCCTGAGGCCCCGGGATCTAATCTTTTTTTTTCCAGCTTTAATTGAGTTTATTGGTACATTTTAGGGATACAGCACAGTTACATTAATTGTTGGGATCTTGTACCTCTACATGACAAGTCTTGATTCTCATTTTTTCCCCTTACCTCTGCCCTCCCTTCACCCCTCCTCCCCTCCCCATCTACAAACACTTTATTTTCATCTTTTCATTTCCCTGGGATCTAATCTTTAAGAGAGATAGGCCAAGGGATGCTTCCAGGGTCCCAAGGACTGTGTTAGGACACCCTTGGTGATCCCTCTTACCTCATGGATGAACAGATGAAAAGGGTTGGCAATATCGGGCAGTGCCAAGGCTGGGGCTGTACCAGAGCTCTTTTCAGATTCTGGAAGGTTTCTTCATCTATTTCCCATTCTAGGGGCTGATTTCCTCCCACGGCAGAATGGAGGCGCTGTGCTATCTCAGCAAACCCAGGTATCCAGCTGCACCTAGGAATTCTCATACATGTTTGTTGGTAATTGGTGTGGGTATCTGGAGGATGGCCCCTTTCCTGGCCTGGGACAGAGCTCTTCTTCTGAGATTTCATACCCCAGGTGCAATACTTTAGGGGCACAGAGTTGTGCCTTCTTGGCTGAGACATGGTAGTCCAACTCCTCTAGCAGCTGAAGAAGCTCTTGCACCCCCTTCAGGCATTCTGAATAGCTGGTAGCAGTTAAGAACAAATCATCCACATATTGAAGCAGGATGAGGTTAGGTGGTGGAATTTAAAACTCACCAACTCCTTCTTGAGGGCTTCACCAAACAGAGTGGGTACATTTTTGAATCCTTGAGGCAGCTGGGTCCAGGTGAGCTGACCTGAGTTTCTGGAAACTGGGTCAGTTCACTCAAAGGCAAAGATATGCTGGCTAGCTGAGGCAAGGGGAACACTGAAAAGACATCCTTTACATCTAGCACAGTATGCACTTGGTGCTCAGGAGACAGCAAACTCAGGAGGATATATGGGTTGGCAACAGTAGGGTGCAGAGCTACCACTCACCAGTTGATTTCTCTCAATTTCTGGACCAGCCTGTAATCTAACATCCCTGATTTCTGTACTGACAGGAATGGGGTGATCAATGGAGACTCACAGGGAATTAATATCCCAAAGTCCAGCAGCCTCTTAATGTGAGGGGCTATCTCCTGTCTGACCTTCTGAGACATGGGGTATTCTCGAATTTGGACAGTTGTGACTGTTGACAAGAGCTCAACTATCACTGGAGGGTGGTAAGCAGCCAAACCCAGTGGGTTAGTTCCACCCACACCTTCAGGAACTCTGCCTGAAGTCTGTCTAATAAGTCCTTGGGGCTTGTTTCCTCTTTGTTTTCTTCCCCTGAGAAGAGATAGGCCTCAAACAGGGCGGTGGTCAAGGACAGTTGGTATGAAGGGAGTGACATCTGAGACTCAGTCATAGTGAAAGAAATGGTGACCTTTAGTTTAGGTCTCATCCCAGCAAGGGGAATGGGCAGTCTGGTATCACCAGAAAGGAGTGAGTAATTTGTTTTGATCCCAGACTCAGCACTGTTCCTCGTAAGCAGGCAGCTTTGGACTGCTCCCATGGCTTCCTGGATGGGAATGATTTGTGATGAAAGCTCTCCCAGAAGCATTTTTAACACTGACCTCTTGGTGCTAGTGTCCACCAGGAAGTGGACCAGTTTGCCCCCTGCTTCAACATTTACCATGGGCTCCTGGGGACCAAGAGAGGAGCCCTGGCTTCCTCAGTCTGAATCTTCCTTTCTCCCAGATGTGGGGAGGGATAGTAGCAGGGCAGAGGGCCTGTGGGGGCATTCATGTTTCCAGTGGCCTTTCTCCTTGCAATAAGCACATTGATTTCTGCCCAATAGTGGGCATCCTCCTGGCTCTCTAGACACTTGTCCTTTGGGCTTCCTGGAGTTGAGTCCTGTGGGGACCCTCAAAAGCTTGCTACCAAGATCTTTGCTTGTTTCTTGGCTGATCTTTCTGCCACAGCTATGGCCAATTTTTGCTTTTCTGAATTCCTATTGTGAAACATCTTTTGAGCTACTTCTAACAGCTGAGATGTATTAATTCCTGGGAATTCCTCCAATTTTTGTAATTTCTTCCCAATATCAGCTGCAGACTAGCCAACAAAATCTGGATTTATAGCTCTGTTGTTCTCTGGAGCCAAGGGGTTCAATAGGGTGTAAACCCAGAAGGCCTCTTGGAGTCTCTAGGAACACAGAGGGGGATTCTTCTGGTCCCTATGTTACTTCAGTGGCTTTTGACAGATTTATGAGATTCTAAGCCACTACCTGGATCCTGTTCAACAAGTTCTGGTGCAAGGTTTCCCCCCTGAAGAATTTGGGTTCCATTCAGGGCACTCTGAGGGGAAGCCTTCTTTCAGCAATTCATGGGCCTCCACGTCTGAACACCCTCCCAATAAAACCTTTCTAGCCTCAAACCTAATCCTGTCCCACTCCTTGGTTATGAACAGGGTCAATAACAACTGTTGACAGTCATCCCAGGTCAGTAGATGAGTCCTAAAGATTGACTCAATCAGGAAAATCAGAACCTGGGGCTTCTCAGAGAATGCTGGATTCTGGGTTTTCCAGTTGTAGAGGTCAGAAGTGGAAAAGGGAACATATACCAGGAATTGGTGGGTTTCTGGTTCTGTCCCATCAGGAGGTGGGGCTTCCCTCAAAAGCAAGAGAGCCTCTGGACTGCATCTTCACGAGGTGGTGACCTCCTTCTGGGATTGCTGATGTTCTCATGTGGGGAAAGAGGTAGGAGGGGAAGTAGAGGAAAAAAACAAGGGAGTCAGGGGCAGATGGGTTGGGGCAGACAGGAGAGGGGGCAAACTAGGGCTATAAAGAGGTGGACAGGGGAGGACTTCCACAGCACTAGGACTGGGTTTTATCTCTTTGGAGTTTGCCCATGAGGGGGACAACAGTTTTTGGAGGCAAGCAACTTTGAATAGGCCTTTCTGGTGCAGACCTTTAGCCATGGAGGAGGATGCTGCACTCAGTTAAGTCAGGAGTTGATGTAAAGGAACTGATCAGGGTGTCCTGGTGACCCAGTAACAGCCCTCCAAACACTTGAACCTGGGCAGGGTTGAGGGAGCACTCAGAGGGCCATCCCACACCAAAAGAGGGCCACTTGAGTTTGCAAAAAGTGTAACATTTGTTCTTTGACATTTTCAGGCCATAACCATAAGAAAATCCTGAGGAAAAATTTCTAAGCATGCAAACCAGGGGTGTAACAGGTTGTGAGGATGACAACCCTGTGGTAGAGAGACTTAGGGCAGGCAGGAGATGCCCAAAAATAGAAGCTATAAGAGCAAATAAAAAGAGAAGAAGACAAAGCAGTGTGGGGGAAAGGATACCAAAGGGGTCACTGGTTAGAGGGGCCTGACAATACCTGAATTGTAGAGTTAAAGGTGAGTCTCCTTTAAGAGTTTCCATAAGCCTCAGGAGGGACCAGGATCCTTGTATTGATGTTGAAGGCTCGGACCCCACTGATGTTTCCACTGGAGAATGGCAAAGAGGCTCCAAAATCCTTCTGTAAAGTTCATAGGATGGCCTTACCTGCAAGGATCTGGAGTACAAAGGGAGGGAAAAATATGCCCTTAGGACAACAGAGCCACTGATGGTCAGGGCCACTGACGGTCAAAGCTTGGTTTAAGGAGTTGGAAAACCAAGAGGGAAAGCATTGAAGGACATGATCAGGCAAGGGCTGCCCAAGGTAGAGATCAATAAAAAGCTAATGAGTGAAAACTGACTGAATTAAATATTTTCCTGCACTTGGTTGTGGGTAGGACACAGGGAAGACAGAAAGGTGACCGAAAAGATGGACCAGAAGAAGGGACTCAAAATCAGGGCAAACTCAAAATGGAAAGGCACCTCCATTATGCCAATCAGTTGGCTTTGGTTCAAGGGAAGAAGCCAAGGACATCTGCCTGGAAGATAGAGAATTTGGTCTTGTTGGAGCCAGTGAGGTCTGTCCCAAAGTATGACATGTAATGCACAGAAGGGACAGTGTTGAGGAAAATAAGACAAGTGGGAAAGCAGTCAGGGGAGTCCTGGTGGCAAGAGGCAAGAGGATGGCCGCAATTTGGAGAAATAATATAGGTCTGAGTGTTTGGGGACAATGGGGGCATCCAGAAATGGAGAAAAAAGCCTTAGTGTTTATGTGGTGCACCCTTGAACAATGTTGCGACAAAGGAAGGGAGTGTTCCTCTGTGGGGAGGAACACACAGTTGGTCAATTGGCTTTGGGCCTCTCAGCCACTTTAAGGACTGACCAGGCTTTAGGGTTATTTATCTCATCGCAATAGCATCCACTTGGCCTCTCTTAGATTCGTCCATGGAATCATGGTATGACCTCATTCAGACCCCATAACTCTGAGGGGGAGAAATTCCCTTCTTCATTGTGGGGCACAGACCGGACAGCCCACAGTTTATGCTGCCCGTTTCTAGTCATTCACCCATTCATACACCAGCTATTTAGAGGTTAAAAGCATTCCAAACCCTTCCCCAGGGATTTCCCAGATTGGCTGACTTGCATCCAGACCAGTGGGCCACTTCAATCAGTGTTCTGACCTTAGGAGGGGCCCAGGGAATGCCTCTGTCAAGGACTAGTATTCCTCACCAGAAGAAGAAGAAGAATCCTTACCTTCAGACCAGACCAGATGGACTCCAGAAAAATTGGATGGTGTTTCAGGAATCTCTGCAGCCCCCTCAGTGTCAGCAGTGAGACTGCAGGGTCCTGAAACATTCGGGGGGTGCCTCCCTTACAGTTTGCTGCTGCAGATAGGAGGTACCCCAGAGAGCCAATCCATCCATTGTGGCAATCTCATTGGGACCTCCAAGTGTTATAGGTGAGCAAGTCAGAACTATGGAGATGTGCCATGCTCTGAGTCAGATTTGAGTCCATTTATTTAAAGCCAGTGTCTGAGAAGGAGCTAGAGCCCCAAAAGTTTTCTCAGCACTAAGAAGCAACTTCATTTCTCCTTTTAAATCATGCTTTCAGTTGGGGAGGGCTCAAGGGGAGAGAGAGAGTGGAATTTTACAGAATCAGAACTATTCCAGGATAGTGGGGGGGGTTGCAAAAGGAAGTTCCACACTCTAGGTGAGCTACATAATATCCTGCAGCCACAGAAAATTTTCTGCCAAACAGGATGTGAGTTTTGGGTGCTTTGTCCAAGCACAGGCATACAGTGGTGGTAAGGCTCAAGATGAAGCCGGGTTAGCTATCACATAATGACAAATATGAGTATGCAGTGCTTTTTTCAAGCCTTTATTTTTCATATCATTTCTCTTTCATTGAGGGTATAGAGACCATATCTAGAAAAATTATAGATACATTTATTATCTGACCAAGATGTATCCTACAGATACACCTGCTATCTTCAGAGTGATTCATTGCAACATTTTCTGCAACATTGTTGTTGTAATTGTAACAAAGTATCAAGTAGAGGAAACTGGTTAAAAAATGTTATGTGTCTATGCCATTGAGTTCTGTGCACCTAAAGAAAAATGATCACAATCTCTACTGTATTGATTTAGACAGTGTCCTAGAATATATTAAGCAAGCAGGGTGCATGACTTTGACTTTGTCCTACCTGGGTCTCTGCCTCCCAGGCTTGTGCACCAGGCCCTGCTGGACAGCTCTAGAGGCTTTCACCTCTCTCCATGAGTCCCTTCCCTGGGGGAGGCAGGCAGACATGCTAGGTTCTATCCTGGCAGATGTGCTGCAGGGCCACTGTGGACTATGGCCACCCCCAGGCTGGCTCCCTGTCAGTGAGGCTGCTAGTTGAGTTTCTTTTTAGCAGGAGGGAGAAGTGATGTCCACGGATTGACTGTTGCCTCTCCCTGTGGGTAAACCCCATTATTAAAATGATTCTGCATTCAGCTTAATTAGTCATTATTTATATATTGAAAGAAGACTTGAAGTAAAGGGGAAAAAACCCAGCAATAACATACCTGTGGAGTAGCTAACTTGTATGTGATACCTTGCTTTTCATACAGAAATAGCCAATACAAAAACAATTAGCATTTAGATACTTTTAATTCATTTTGCACTATTGTATTATAATACACTTATATGGTATATATAATTTTTCAGAGGCTTTCTTTACTTCATAGTTGTCTTGTGCTCATTTAGTTTCATTGCTGACAAGGTCTCACTATATAGTTCAGACTGGTCTTGAGCTCACTAAGTAGCCCAGGCTGGCCTTGAACTCATGCTGATCATCCTGCTTCAGCTCGTTGAATACTGGAATTACAGGCATGTGTTACCATGCCTAGCTTGTGTGGTTCCCTCTCCCTCTCCCTCCCTCCCTCCCTCTCTCTCTCTCTCTCTCTCTCCAGGTCTTGTTACAGTTCAGGCTGGCCTTGAACTCACTATGTACTCCAGGCTGGCCTCAAACTTGAGGTACTCTTCCTGCTTCAGCCTCCCAAGTGCTGGGATTACACACATATACCATCATGCCTGGTCTTACTTGTTTTTATTTTTATTTATTTATTTATTTTTTTGAGATATGATATTGCTGTATGGCTCAGGTTGGCCTTGAACCCACTCTAAAGCCCTAACTGGTCTGGAACTCACCTGGCTATGATCCTCCAGGGATTACAGGCATAAGGCATCATGGATGGTCTCTGAGTTGTTTTTATATGAGGAGGGAAAAAATGCTCATTTGTCAAAGGGGATGTAGCAGCCTCACAAGCCAGATTCATGTGTGACATCTTTTGTGGCTGAGCAAGGGCAGCCCTATTTCCAACCCAGGCTTATTTGCTCCCCATCCCCACCTCACTGACCTGAGCAGACAAGGCGTGGGTGATCCTCTTCTAGAGTTAAATCAGGATTCTCAAATGATAAGATTTTGTTTTTTTTTTTTTCCAGTTAAGTGGTGGAAAGCCCATTTCCACCTTTCTAAGCACCTGGAGCTTCCCTACCCCTTCCTGTGTCCTCTGTTGCTGTTGAAGACAATATGATGGCTTATTCTGCTATTTGAAACTGTTTTTCTGTGATTAATGTGCTTTCTTGTTTACAAATGTTTGATTTAAAGAGAAAAAAACATGGCATATTTATCTATTTCATTGTGATTTTGTTAGTCCCTTTGTTCTCCTTCCCCTTGAAACGGATGACATTGCATGAAGGACTTTGAGAGATGAACAGAAAAGAAAGCAGTGTGCAAATGTACACAGTACCTTTTGCTTAAGAAATGAAGATGGTAAAGACTGTACATTCCTGTGTGCTTGGATTTAAATAAAATACCAAGAAGACAAGAAAGTAGTAGTAAGAGTTGGCTGTGAGGGCCAGGGGATGGAGTAGTGCATGCTTCTTCTTCCTCGTCTTCCCTCTTCTTCCCTCTTCTTCCTCTTCTTCCTCTTCTTCCTCTTCTTCTTCTTCTATTACTATTATTATTATTTTGTACCAAGAACTGAACTCAGGACCTTGCACTTGTGAGGCAGGCGGTGGCACCACTGAGCTAAATCCCTGGCCCAATATTATTTTGATTTTTGAACCATGAGAATGTATTATCTAGAATAACTAGAAATATTTTGAGGGGAGAGATGGGGAAGAAAAGATTAGTAGTAGCGGGATTGGCCAACTCTTTAATCATTTAGTTCCCACTTCTACCCACCATTGTGAGTTATCTTTCAGGTCTTTTTTTTTTTTTTTTTTGAGACAAGATCTCGTTATATAGTTCAGGCTGGCCTTGAACTCACAGTGATCCTCAGCTTCAGCCAAATGCTAGGATTACCGGTCTATACACCTGGTTCTTTCAGGTTCTTGACAGATTCACTTAGTTCATCTAACAGCCTGATGAATTACTGTCATTAAAATTCTCATTTTACAAATGAGGAAAACAGACAAGAGGTTCAGGAAACAGCCCATGATCTCACACAGCTGGTAAATTACAGTTGTAACTTGAACCCCTGTCTATCAAATCCTAGCTCACCCGACACTTTGCACAAACGTCTTTGCACACTTGGTCGATTTTTTCTTTGGGTTACATTATTAGAAATGGGTGCACTAGTACCAAAAGTTTAACTTTTTTTTAATATAAAAGCGCTAAATGCTATTATGCAAATTTGTGTTATTTTGCATTCCCATTATAAAGACACGATGACGCTTGTATCCCCACATAGTTGGTAATACTGAGTTGCAGCAAAATATATATATTTTTCACCAAGACAGCTGACGAAACAGGATTTACTGCTATTGTTTTAACTAGCCCGTCCGTTAGCACTCAAAAGCCTGCAATTAAATAATCCAGATTCTCCTCACAGTCTCCCCTTCTCCAGCAGAGGGCACTAGCCACGACGCGTCTCTCCACTGTGGCCCTTAGCGGCTCCTCAGGCCCAGAGCGCGTGCGCAAATCCCTCTTCAGGTGTCCAGCTTTGTGCCTGATGGTTGTCCTTAGCCTCACTCAATGCTTACTTCTGTGCCAGGGAAGGACTGCAGGAAGGAGTAGTGTGTTCTTTTGATCCAGAGCGCCTCTGGATCTCTGGGGAGAGCGGTTCTGGAGAGGTCCTATAGGGGTCGGGCGGCTAGTCGGGCAGCCCA